AAGAAACCCTAATAGATTTCATCCATATGAGAAGAATATAATCGAAATATTGATTCAAAAGTGCTAAAAAATACTCTTTTTAGTAGCCTCATTCATACATAAACCTCAATTACCTTGATACTTTCATATTTAAGCAATTTAGATTTTTCTTATAAGCCCCAACTCTAATCAGTGAGCTTTGAAAAGCTATAACATCTCATTTGACCATCCACTTGATGTAAAATTTTGCATGAAATTGTCAATGTAAGTCTTCTATATGCTTAAGAATTTCAGTCCAATCCAACTTACAAATTATGAGAAAAATTATGAGAAAAATTCTAAGGCAATAAAAGAGTTTTTATATCTTAGAAGGTAAAAATACTAATTAACTTTTATCTACTTGCTATTAAGACAAGAAAATAGGCTAAGAGGCTTTTATAAAAGCTTTATTAAAATATGATGAATTCTTGTTGAATTAATATAATAGAATATTAATTAAAAAATTATTTTTATTTATATTTTCACCAAATAATTGTATCACTATACGACAACACTTGTAATAATATATCTTCAACCGCATTATCTTTTCTCAAAATATGCTTGAATTTTGGATTCATAGAGTTAATGTATACTATCCACCTTAATATTACAATATCCAACATTGAACAATTAGCAATCATATCTAATAGTAGTAGACAATCCGTTTTAATAATCAGAATTGCATCAATCAAGTATTCTTTTTTATTTTTTATTGTGGTTACTATACCCCATAATTCTCTCTTGACTTGTGCATAAGCTCTTTGATAAGGATTTAAAACTTTTTTTCTAAATTTAACTACATATCTACTTTCTTCTTCATTATCTTGTCCAATTGTCCATCCAATACCTATTGGACTAGCATCAACTATCAATTTTATAGGCCTCCCTCAATCATAATTGATCTTTTTCAAAGTTGGTAGTAAAGAAAGAATTTTCTTTATCTTTTTCATTACCTTGCTTTATTCAATGTTTCATTGAAATTTAATCTTCTTCTTTAATAAATAATTTAATGGTTTTTTTATATGTGTAAAATGTAGAATTCAAATGTGGTAAAAAATACATGATCTCAAAAAACCTTCAAACCTTTGATATATTTGAAAATTCTTTCATTCTTTGAATTGCATCTACTTTAGCTTTTGATGACTTAGGTTTGTACGATCTACACATATGTCCTATCGTCAAAACTTCCTTTACTCTAAATATTGATTTTGTTTCCGATAAGATTAAATGAACCTCTTCTAACTTTATCAAAATCTTTTCACAATCATTAATATGATCCACCACAAACTTTCTACATTCCTTTAAATTCAATATTCGATCCTTTTCTTCTCTTTGACATCCCTTAATTGACACATCATCTAAAAAAGATATTATTTTTTTTAGAATAAAATCTCTTAATACCTTATGCATTCCATTCATCATATGTGGTAGTGAATTTGTAGCCTTTTGTGGTAATATACATATCTTAATCAGTCTCAATGATATTTTCATAGTTGTCAAATTTTTTCTTTGTATTATCAATTGAAATTGATCATATCTCAAATAAAAATCGTACATAGAATAAATTATTTTTTCCGCAAATGCCTTTGTAAATTAATCCACTATTGGACTAGAATCCATGTTTCTAATAGTCATCTTATTTATCGGTTGCATGTCTTGAATAAACCTCAATGTTCCATTTTTTTTTAGAGACTATGAACCACCAATTAGAATATGGTGTAATATATGGTTTTAAAATTTCCATCTTAACTTTCTCATTGAATAATTCAACAAGCTTAGGCAAATAGGCTATTGAAACCAAAATTGGCCTTAAATTCCATGGTTTATGTGGAATCATGAAAATAACCATAGATACCACCACATTTAAATCCACACATCCTATTTCATTTGATTCAAATAAAAATGCCTTGCTATGTCTTTGAACATCTTTCTTCAACTTTCATAAAAAAGTCCTTACATCCAATCTTCAACCCATCAAATATATCTAATTAACTTTAAATTCATGCCCTATTTTCTTTAAATCTCTCAAATTAGGTTGCATAGAAGTCCTTTCAATCTTTTTCTTATAATCCAATGGTAGTAGCAATGGTATTGGTTTAATCTTTTTGGCAACAATCTTGAACCTACTTTCTACTTTTACATCATATCTATCAACATATTCATTCACCTTAATATAAAATTCCTAAAATTATACATTTACTATCTTATTATCATCCTAAAAATTCAAATCCAATAATACTTGCAATTCACTCATGGTATCATCAAAGCCACTTTTTTCAAACAACCTCAATATACATTCATCTTTATTAAGCACTCTACATTTTTCAACTCATATTCTATATTTTTATGTTTTTCTTCTCTATTCTTCTAAAATAATTTATATTTTTAAATAAAATATATTCATTCCATGATAATGCAAAAATAGCCTCATCTCTTCTAATAAGCAAGAAGCCATCGCCTCTTCTACCATTGCAACTCCGCTTTTATAATGGCATGTAGTAAAAATCCCTCACATGATCATTTCTAAATTCTCTAATAACCATTGGCAAATATTGATGTCTCAAACTCCTATGGTTTCTATCATGATTAGCACATACCATCAAAAATTGCACTGTTTTTGTTCCATCTTCACTCTTAATTCAAATATATGTCAATCCAATGTTTATAATCTTTATTTTCATGCAAGTAGCCATAATATAAGGTTGTCCTAGAATGATAGGATAAGTAGACATATCTTCTACAAAGAAGTTTTGGACATCACTAATATCTCTTATCATAACCTTCACATTTGGACATCCCCCATATAATTCTCTTTGTGAATTTTTTGATGCTCAAATCATCCATCCATGCTTGACGTCAATAGGCCACTTTTCCCTTTCATACAACTCTTTTGACATCAAATTGATCTCCAAACCATGATCAATAATGCCACAATAGGTTTCTTTAAATTTTTCAACTTCACCAATGTCTCCGTTGTTGCTCTTATGCAATAACTACAAGAATAATGATTCAAAGTTTGGATTTTTTTTTCTTCTTCTATAATCCTTATACGTGAAACATCTCCTTATGCATAATCACTGTCCTCTTCATCTATCATCACTCTTATCCCATGTGCATTTGAAACCATATTATTATCTAAAACTTACCATTTTCTATTAATAATATCCATAATGACCTCATAGAATTCCCTCTTTGCTATTCCAAGAACTTTTCTTAATGTATGATGATTAGCGATCATAATCACATGTTTGGCTTCAATACTAAATGCATGATCTTCTTCACTTTGTTCTATGTCATTGTCATCATCATTGGCTTTATCTTCTATTGAATATATCATATCATCGACAATGACTTTAACTATGCATTTCTCAATGTCAAAGACAATTTCACATTGATCCAAAGCTTTAGATATGAAGTGAAACATCATTAAGTTTTGAAAAAGAATGGCAACATTATCAAAGGAGATGTCCTACTCCGCTTTTGGCTAGAGTTGTACATACTTTTGGAATTTGATAGTATGCTATTTCTTCATATATAGGTCAATGTTATCGTATTAAAATAGTACACTTCAATCTTATATATTGGCCGTGAACTTGTGCTTTGCTCCAACATTCTCCTTGTGACTGAATGCAATACAGAAGCAATATTTTACGTGTTGACAATTGAAGTGGTGACACAATAGAAGATAACTTTCAAATGATATTTAATATCATTAGCCTTGAAGTAGCTTGAACTACATTTGTTCTTGGACATCGTAATAGTAGGTGTATATACCAATAAACAAAGTAACTATCTATTGTATTGCTTTTAGATATCATAATTGTAGGTGTGCACACCAACAAACAAAATAAATATTTATTGTTGGACATCAAAATTGTGGTACACATCAATATATAGAGTCTGTAACTACTGTTGTACACACAACCTTAATTTAGGCTCGTTTGAAAAAGTGATCTAGGCAATTTAGGTGCCAAAATCCTAAACCGTCTATTATAGACTAACCAGCATATATGACATAGCTGATAGTAGAAAGGACCACCATAGTGTTTTCATTAAGTATGACTAGTTGTGTTTTCATTGGTTAAGTATGACTAGTTGTGTTTTCATTGGTTAAGTATGACTAGTGTTTTCATGAAAGAGCAAGAATAGTTCCAATTGAACTGAGGAGGCTGTGTGATTGAAGTTGAATCAAGAAATTTCTGAACAAGAGAAAGAGGGAGAGAAGCTGAAGTACTTCACATCGACCGTCACTTCAAATCCGCTCGATGTCGATGAGGGCGAGAAACTCCAGGAGATATGTTTGCGAAACTTGAATACCACTGCCAATTTATCAGTCTCTGGAGGGGTTACCGGAATTGCTTTAGGTAACATGTCAGGGATATTAGATTTGAACACGTCTACACCATGCTTTCTGCTTCATGAAGCAGCAGTGTATGTGGTAACGATATAGCAAACTAAGCTGGCAATACCTTATTGCTAAACTTTTGTTATCTTGAACTTGTGAACACTATTGAGCAGTATTACAATCAGGGTCTGGTAACCAATTTAGGAGAATATTCTTAAATTCTACAGAACTTAAAAGGAGGGGATAATTTCAATCAGCAACTAGACTTGTAAGCTAGTTATACCATTTCGTTAGTAACAAATGTGAACGCAGTTAACAGTATATGGGTCATACCATACATCTTCAGAGCCCAGCCTCTTATCACTGTGAAGAATATGATAAGTACATCGAGGGACACGATACAGGCTCACTGACGACACTTGTGTGGAGGCCATAATAATCAAGGCATAGAGTAGCTGCAATTGGAGGCCAGACTAATTTTCTTCCCAATTAAACATTTCGACATGTCAGAACTAACTGAGTATAATGAATGTAATTAATGTATCACCTCGGTAGTATCATCACAAGGTTTGCAATAAACCTGCTACGAGAAACCAACAAAACTTAGTTCCAAGAGTTTCTAGAATCAGGCAGATGCTTCAAGGCTCATGATGGAAAGATCCAGTACTTTCCCTCAAACACGAGAGGATCATACGGGTTCCACTTTAGAAGTATGAAAAAATGATAATGTCACTTTACATAACTCCAAGTAGACTTCAGTGAGCTCTCGTTACAATTGGTTTCTCAAACCTTGACAAAGCAACCAATACTCTTTCTGCATTGGTAACGAATTATCTAGGAAATGTACAGGGGAATGACACTAAGCATTCCCCATGCCGATTATTGTTTCGAAGCATCTTGATCTTGATATGTACCATGATAGTCGCACCCTACACAAAGTTAACAATAAGATCAATAAAAAAATGTACCGCCAATATCAGAGGTAGGCTACATGAACAGCATTCAAGCTCAATGAGCCCTTCTATACTTCTCTCTGCTGATTGCGCAGTTACAGTTGATACTTATACAATAACACCCCAAAATCTAATTACGTGAGAAGTATTTCAAATTCCAGCTCTCTAGGAAGCTCTGCAAAAAAGTTAACAATCATTTCATCTAAGATAGAAACAAGCACAGTAACTCGGGATGAACCAGATTGATTACCAGGACAGAGCGATTCATGTCATGGATGCTGGCATGAGACTCAACGCAATCCGTATGCAGGTCATTGCGAAGTTGCTAAATCTCAACAACTTGCGTTGTGCCCAACCAAATTAATTGTGTGGTGAAATGAATCACTATGATGATATCCTAGGAAGATCCACTTTCGTTGGTAAGACGAATGGATATTCGGTGACGATGAATAACACAAAGAGGTCACAAGGTGTTCTTTAGCAGCGGCCATTTGACATGGATGCAGGGTAGACAATGTACTCATTACGACATAACTATCTTCAGCGTGAAAGTCTTGCTGACATGTCCCAGAGAGTTAGACGGGAAGGCGTTTCAGGTCTTAAAAGCCATCGCAGAAGTGCCTCCCCATTTGCTGTCCATCTTCCTGCATCATTTGATGTTCGGAAGGGTACCCCGAGCTTGATTATTTCTCTTTCGATACCAGCTCTCACCTGTGATCTACCTTCTTCCTTACTTAATTTTCCCCATCCAGTAATAATTGTCACAAACCTGGGGAAGGCCTTCGTTTCCTCAATGACATTCATGCCTTCGGACCCATCATGAATTGACTCTTTCGCTTCAAACTGTACCAGTGAAGGCAAATATGGCACTGTCACTTCCACATTCACAACTGACTCGTCCAACCTAGCATTATCTTCGAATAAGGAAAGTGCAGCAAAGTCTTCGTAGCTATCAGATGTGTTTGAATCATCTTCAGAATCACTGTACTCCAAAAGATCTACCTGTTGAGCAATTAGAAAGAGATGAGCCAGCCACTGGTACAAAGCCACTATCGCACCTCCAGAGGAAAGACGACGAACATCTAGCTTCCACTCATTACGCGTCACCGTACAAAGATCATCGTGAATGTTACTGTTATCACAAAGCCAACCCAACACTAACGCAGCTCGACGATACCGACCAAGTGCCCAAAGTGCGTCCAAAAGGGAAGAGCCAAGTGCAGTCCAAGTTTTTTCGTCCTCTTGTGGGATATGGTTAAAACATCTCCCCAGAAGATTAAATACCTGCAGTTTCATTAACCATGGATCCGTCATGTTTGATAGAAGTTCAACAATTTATTTGCAAATACACCCCACGGTCTGCAGCAGTATAACTCTATTAGATGAAACACTCACTCCATCAGATAGGATTCTCCAGCTGAGTGACTTACCTCTGTGTCGGTCTTTGAACTATTAGTCAGCAAAAGGTGACAACATTGTGCAAGTTCTGAATCAAAAACTTCCAAAGAATGGAGCAGATCAAAAACTTCGACGTCATTAGAACACTTGGAGCTCAGGGCAACAAGCAGCACAGTACAAGTCACGGCACTTGGTGGACACGCTGCTGCTCTCATATCATCCAGAACTTTAATCATAGCTGGAATATTCTTGGCCTTTGAGCAGGCGTCCAACGCTTCAGTAAAGGTCTGTACACTACAAACTGTTTTCAACTGCTTGGCCTGATCATAAATAGATAAAACCTGCAATACAGCAGATAATCCAAAATATCAATACAAAGTGAAACTCAAACCGTATTCCTTGTCATGCCATTTTTACAATCAAGTCCACCTGTGCATTATCTTTACTCTTCAAAGTCTGAAAAAAACAAGTTCTGAAAACTCGCCTCTTTAAAAGCCCCAGTTGCTTTGAAGCTGGACATGAGGACCGTGAAGGACACTCCAGTGGGTTGTAGCCCAGATTGTACCATCTGAAGGAAGACACGTTGGGCACCATCCTGTTCGCCACGCTCGGTATAAACGTTAATCAACGCGTTATACGTCACCACATTTGGTTTGACACCATACTCTTTCATTGCCTCAAATATGGTTTGAGCCTCTTCAACGTGACCTCCTTTCCTACATGAATTTATTAATGATGTAAAAGTCTTTACATTTGGCTGGCATTTCTCTGCCACCATCTCACCGAATACTTGCATAGCTGATCGAAAATCACCTGCAATATTCAACACATTCGTGCCCATGTAAGTCTGTGATGTAATGCCTGGGCTCAAGTTACTTATGCATTCAAGTAGTCAAAAGATTAGAGCGCATTTGAGCTCAAATACGTTGAAATCGAAAAAATTAGAGATAATCTGGTTTGCAGCCGCAAGGACATGGACCATGTGAACAATCAACAGGCAAGCCCTAATCCACACATGGCTTCTGTAAGTTGGGAGCTGCTGATACGGTTGTTTTCAGAAATTAATCCCCTTAGATCCTCTACCCTCAACCATAGAAGAATATGTCGAATCAGTCAGTCCCTTCACTAATGGACAACGCATCACAAGGCTTAAAAACGAACAATTACTCCAAATGTTTTGAAGCCAGATGTTCCGAAGAACCCCCATAGTCAAAACCCTAGAAAAGCTATATAACAACTATATCCATACCATACTGCATAAACTGAACATCACAGAAGAGAAAACCCTAATGCGGAATTCGAAATAAATGTACAAGGGCATAATTGATTTGGAGAAGAGTAAATACCAGCATTAGCATAAACAGTAATAAGCGATGTGTAAGTTACAACTGTGGGTTTGATACCCCGCCTTTTCTTCATAGTATCGAATATCCGTTGCGCCTCCTTAACATGCTGTTTGGGAGCACAAGCAGCCAAAAGAATATCATAGGAAACTACGTCTGGTTGTATACCTTGCAAACACATCTCCTTGAATAATGAGAGCACTTTGGTAAGGCCAACATCGGTCTTCACGTACATATTCATGATAGTGTTGTAGGTAGATAGATCTGGCCGACAATCCTTCTGTTTCATAGAATTAAACAGCTCATTCGCTGTCTCCACCTGGCCTGATTTGCAGTAAGCATGTAGAAGAGAGTTGTATAACACCGTGTCTTTCTTCACTGAATCATCCATATCAGAAAATATTTTCTTCGCTAAATCCAAGCACCCTGAGCTGCCCAAAGTATCAATAATCGTAGTGTACAAATGCGGGTCTAATCTACACCACCCCTGCAGCTGCATCCATTCTAAAACTTGGAGTGCTTCATCAGGGTAGCCCTTTCGTCCTAATTCCTGTAAAACTGCGTTCACAGTCCTCGCGACTTGTTCATAACGAACATACCTCGCCCCACTTAGCGAATTCCCATCCGTATTCTCTTGCATCAATCTGTGGTGTCTAGATCCAATCTTCCTGACCCAACAGCTGAGCATATCCTTCACAGAAAACTCATCCCTGGGATTCAAAACCTGTGCAACTAGCTTCTCCTTCTCGTCATCCCTCGCCTGCAATTTTTCCCTGGTGACCCAATAAGGTCGGTGCGCTAAACCCGAATAATCAACAGGAGACGGAACCTCGTAATCCAGATCTCTCCACGAGTAACTACTCGGAGAATCCATGTAGCTAGTTTCCGCAACTACATGGGCAAACCTTCGCAAGCACAGCCTCATCACCGACCCCCATCGATAACAGGGCACACAGGGACAAGCCAGAACATGCTGTAGGGTGAGCCGCAAGGGCCCCATAACTGAATTCCCCACTCACTCCACACCATTCCCCAGCATCTTCCCCCTCAATCACCTAACCCTCTGTACAATACGACCTCAATTCCCCTCTCGACACCCACAGCTGGCCACGAGGAGACCCAACTCAGGCGATCGCTTAAACCCTAAAACATCACCCAACGCCGGAAGTCAAGCACGGCACCATGAACTGCTATAAATTCACAGCTCCTGACCTAAAAAAATAAGGAATGCGTCATGTGCATGAACTGCGACGGTGTGATGCAGTGACAGGGAGCAGGGATATGAGGCGACGAAGGCAGAGGCAGAGAGAGCAAGCGACGAAGACAAAGAGCGGTTGGCGAGGAAGCAGCCACACCAGTAGCGGCACACGGCGGCAACAGCAGCAGCAGCAAGGGCCTTTCCTTTTTGTTGGTGCCACCGAACGGATCCAAAGTCTCCTTTTCCCAAGCTCTCATGGTCCAGGGACATTCCACCACGACGTCCCACCATGACCCACATAAACCAGCAACAACAAAATTAACAAAAAATAAAAACATAAAACATAAAAATAAAAAACGAAAGAATAATAACACACACACTCAGGCCCAACTACCGGCACTGGAGCTGGACGCCCGCCGGACGGGTAGCGGCTGAGGCGGCGACCAGGTCCCACCGAGTTTCGCGTTCTCCTTCGCCCCTTTTTGAACCTTATGTAACATAGGTTATGTTCCTGGGTTTTTGGTTAGGTTGCTTGCTTGCGGGTTTACTATGAATCGGTTTGGTCGCTTACTTACGAGTTAACATTAACAAAAATATGCTCCAATCGAATTGGTAATAATTTAAGACTTTATATAGATATAAAATACTTGAGTGTTTTTTTAATTAATTTTAATTTTAGTTAGATAAGAAGCACTTTCTAATTAATGGTCCTATTCTTACAATAATTATATATTAACAGAGAGTTTTATATTTAATTTTGGTTTTAAAATGTAAATAATATAAGAAAATAAGATCAAATATAATTCTTGAATCTATTTATGATAATATTGCACTTAAAAAATATTATTTCATATTTATACAGAATTTATATAAATATAATTAGGTTATCAAAATAATATATTATATATCAAAAGCTAAATGTTTTTAGAATCTTTGTGAAACCAAAAGATATGATATTATAATTTAAATATATATTACTAATTAAAAATAATCTTCTATTATCTTATTCTATTTTTATTTTTAAAAAGTACATTTGATTGTCTGATTTTTAAATATTTATTTTAATATGTATCCTAACTTATTTTAATTAGTCAAAGAGTTTTAATGTCAAAAATAAATTTTAATAAATTTTAATTTTTAACTTATTAGATCTTTAATAAGTATTATTTTCTTTCAAAAAATAAAAATAAAAAACAGTTACATAGGTATTTTAATTCTTGAGCTTATTTTTGCAGGGTAGTTATTAATGTATCCCTAAAAAGAATAGAAAATAAAAATAATTGAATTGGTAGTTAATTATTTTTTATAGGTCTATTAAGCAATTATAAAACATTGTCTTATTTTTATATTTATTTTTTTTCTTAAATACATCTTGAAAATTTTATATTATTTTAGAATGCTATCACAAACTTTATATAAAGAGAGATAAGAGATATGTAAATCACGAATACATCTCTTTGTTGCATTGCTATCATAAATGTTCATATTCCAATAAATTGAAGTTTGAATCTTTAGATGTAACACATACATTTTGTAAGAAGTTATTTGGCAACAACTAGATTATTTTGGTGCTTTAAAGAAAAATTAGCATTATTTTTCTTATTGAAAAATATTTAACTCTGATATTGCAAATATTGGTCTTATTAAACTATTAGAAGTATTAATCTTAAAAATATTATACAAAATATTATATCTTTGTATAACCAAGAAAGAATTAAAAAAACTAAGAAAAAATCTTTTATGAAGTAGAAAGATATAAGAGTAGTTATTCCGTAATACATTAAAAGTCAAAGAGTCTTTATTAAGACTATAATACCAAAAAAAAACATCTATAAGATTTAGTATGATTTAAAGCTTACTTCTATATATATTAGATAGCAAGAAAACCACACAAAATTCTCCTAAAAATTAGAAGGCATGTAGTAAAAGTGTTCATGTCATAGCTTCATAAAATTAGATAACACCTTGAAAAACTATTGTTGTCATATGGCACATTCATAGATCCAATCTTCACCCACAAAAACTTCTTATACGTTTTACAAAGAAGAAATTATTTATATAATCGATTTTCATATCATTCTACATACTTCTATTGAATTAGGTAGTATAGATATTTATAACTCTTTTAGATCTAATTTGTGCATCTGTGTTGTTTTTTTTGTTTTTTGTTTTTTTAATTCTCAAAAATATATCATTTACTTAAACTATTAAACTTGCTTCTACTTAATTCAATATAATAGCCATAGATAATAATTTTTTATATTTATATAATTCAAAATTTTGTAAAAAATTACTTAAAATCTAACAAAAATATATTCATATTAATCTTGAATTTTAAAATATTTTTTTACTTATATTTTTTTTAATTAACTAATATTTAAAAATAGCTTAATCATATATATGTATATATATATATATATATATATATATTTAGTAGTATAAAATTATAATATTTCTATTTATTATATTTTTATACTAATTATTTAATTTACAATATAAATAAATAAATTATACAATAAAAAAACTAAAACATTTCAAATATAAAATAAAGTAAATACATCAACTATATAATTTAAATTATTGAACCATGTATTTTTTGCGAGGTTCAGAATAAAAAATTGCAAATAGGTTTTGTTTTATATAATTATTACACATATTGATACATATTCAAAATTATGTTTTTTTATTTATCATATACATTATTTTTATGATAATTATAATATTATTATAAAATACACTAAAATAATGAAACCAACAAAATAAAAAAAAAGTAAAGTTTCAGTGCAGAATTACATTCATATTAGTTTAAATTTTGAATCAATTTTTTTGTGGAAAGGTTTAGTGCAAAATCATGTAGATCAAATAAGTTTTTCAAACTAGCGCTGAAACATCTTACACATTTGTATTTTGAAAGTAATATTAAAAATAAAATTGCAGTTGGTTTTTATTTTTTTATTTTTTAAATCTATTTTATACAAAAACATAATCAAACATATTCCTCTTTGGTTCTTCTTGGTGTCCTTACATTGATTTCATGTCTGAAACCTAAATGTAATCTGCTTGATGCGTGGAGTGCCGTTGAATCACCAAGAGGGGAGGGAGAGAGAGGAGAGAGCTACCTAGATGATAAATAATGAGCTTTGTTTCTCATGTCTCAATGGTCTCACATTCCGGATAACAGTCTACAGTGCGTTTGCTTTCAGCATAGTGATTGCTGTGGATTCCATGCAGGGGAACCACATTCTGGATGGACGTCAATATACTACAGTGATTGAATTCTCGATATTGAAGTCTAATTCACATAGACTTACATCGGTGATATTTATCATTTTCATGTTGTATATATCCCTCCAAGGTGGGTTAGCTCTTCTTTGTTACTAATACTTGGTTCTGGTGAGTAGTTGTCTGTGTTGGAATTGTTGTTAGTTGAATTAAGTATGAAAAAAAAAAAAAAAATCGCTGTTTTTACAACTACATTAGAAGAACGATCATTCGAAGCTGCCATGTTGCAATACTTGTGGAAGGCTCTAAGAGGACGACTTCCTCATCAGTAGACTTGATGTTTTTGCAACAATAGTTGATTAGAAAACTGAAGAATGCAAGCTACTCAAACCATGCGTGATCAGACGCTAAGGGAGTAGTGTGGAACTGAGTTCATGGATAGAGTTCCTTGACAGGAATATATACAAGCAACATCCCGTTATTTAAAAATGAAGATCTCATACCAATGTTTAAAAATGCTATAACTACATCCATCTAATACAGTGACTAGCCATTATAAGCTGCAAGTGCAATAATTAGTTGATAGACTCACACCTCACTTTGGAGGCAAAGATTTCTTGAAAATTTAAACCATGCTCTAGTTCTAAGCCTTGAGCAACGACACAAGGCTCTAAGTCAAAGCCTTAAACTATTCCAATTCACCATCTACTCATGGCTTGATTTTAAATATCCACCTAGCTGAAATTAAATAGACACTTGGAAGAAGCATTGTACTAACTTCCATGTATTATTCTTAAAAAGTGATTAGAATTTAAATTTTACAGCAATCATATGTTTAAAATCTTTTTGGTATACTTATAATTGAATGGTTCTCCACTTTCTTCTAGAATACTAGGAAAGAATTCTAAAAGGTCTAATCTTCTAAAGCTCTCACAAATTTTTAAGAAAATTTTATTTTTTAATATTTATTGTTATTCAAAAGATGGTGCTCTAATTATTATTTTTTAGAAGTCTACTTATTGTGATTTGTGATTGTGGGTGTGGCATCTTCATAAAAAGAAGAAAAAAAAAAAAAAATTATAAGATACTAAGATATAATTATAAAGGAAGTTTTAGTAGTATATTAGATGTTTAGGAAGTAATGTCAAGCTCAATTCATTAATAGAATTCTTTGATTAAAATATATATAGTTAAAATTTTGATATTTAAGAGATAGAAGTAATAATAGTCATTAAATTTAGAATGAGATTATTATAACATAAGCTCCCAATATGCATTGCTAAAAAAGTGTTGAAGGATATCTTTGATATAGTCAAGGCAACTTCTTTTGTTGAACAAAATATTTGTTGAAGTCTTTGACATAAGAATGTTGACCATTAAAATTTCCAACTTAGTGAAGTAAGAAGATGAGATCTAAAAGTTTTCAACTATTGAAGATATATCTATTATTTCATAAAATTTATATCAACTCTTTATATGTGAAAAAAGAAGTAACAACAAGAATAGACTTACTTTCACAATATAGAGCAAAACTAATAGATCGTTTTGTGTAAATAAGTGAAGATGTTGAATGATTGTCATTTTTTTTAAGCTACATAATCCACTACTTGAATAAATAACAGACTTGCTTGACATCACCCACCATTATACCAATATTAAGTTTGTTTGAATTTTATCTTCTATTTTTGAACACTGAATCTATAGACTCTATGTTATTCAATCTACATAATTCACTACTAGAAACCACTTAGTTTGACCAAAAGTGCAAAGAAAAAAAAACATTATTATATTTTGAGTTTTTTGATATTACATTAAGAAAAATTTAGCTTAAGAATGCATAAGACATTTAGTTGTAGAGAGATTTAATCTTACCTTGAAGTTAGATTAATAATCCAAAAA